TCCGACCCCGATCGCCTCTCGGCGCCTGCCCCGCCCCCTCACATCCCCCTGTTCCGTTAGATCAGGGCTGCTCAAATGCAAGACTTTTCGGGCCAAACCGCGCGCGGGCGCCCGCTGCAGCGGCTCCTGCCACTCCCCCTTTACCCCTGCGTCTCTTACCCTCTCTTACCCTCTGGCTCCCCCCGTCTCTTACCCTCTGGCTGACTCGACAAGCAGACAGAGCCTTCCCGGTTGCCCGCACGCAGATGAGCGCTGGCCCGGGGCACACCAAGTGGACGCACTCGAGCAGCCCTGCATTAAATCACCCTATACTTCGTACTCTACCCCTTGCCCTCTCTATCAACACCGTGCTTTTTATTCGAGCTACTTTGCCGTTCTGTCGGTAACTAGACTCTGAATTAATAACAGAATATGAGCTCTTTTTTCACACTATTATTGGTATTTAACCGATTATCAATATGACATTATTAATTATTAATGCCATTAGGCTGATATGAATTATCAAAAATGTATTTATTTTCTATGAAATTGGATTAAAAATTATTGACAAAATTATATTCAAAAGTAACTATTCTGCTCCGCCGTTCCAAATGTTTTAGTCTGATACATGCAATAAAAGCCGAGAAAAAATAAAACATTAAAAACACGTTTCTGATTGTATCTCTGTAACAGATTGCCCTAGCAACTGCTCTTTTGGGAATCTACATTTTTATTCTCTTTCATATGAGTATCGCGATTATCGATTTGGTTTGGAGGCACTTTTAACCCCCTTGTTTTGCAATACTCTTTGCTCCATGTAATCGATAAGTAGAATGCAGCAAGACTGCAATTCTAGAACAAGATATTTTCCGAGCAATTCGCAAATATTTCCGTTTTTCCTTTGTCCGTCTTACTGCAAGGAGGAAAATCAGTGCGTACGCTAATAAAACTTAAGCTTACCGGTCACATCAATAAGATTTTTTTCGATAGCCACAAGTAAAAGCTGTTACTTTTAGAGCTTACACAACCTGCTAATAGTTCAATGGGTATCACTGATGCTAAAAGTGAGACTATGATCAAAACCTCAGATAAAATTGTAAATTTAACAGTGAAAAGAAAATATTTTCGTCTGACTGCTTTAGCTACTACTGAACTTAATGTAACACAGAACCCAAATCAGTGATTTGTATACTTGAATTAAAATAAAATGAAAGGCAGAAATGCCGTCCAAAAAATAGTGAATGACACACGTAGTAAAAGTGATTTTGGTTTGGTCGTGGGATTGCGGCTCTCGACCTATCGGTCTCATGACTCAGTGTTTCCAATTTTCAAAATAAAACGCCACTTTAGTCACTGTATCTGAAGTAACTATTAATGCAGTTTTTTTCGATTTCTTTATCGAACAATATTTCTTGTTTCTGATCTGTATTCACACATAGTTTGATTATCCGTTCTCTACGTGCCTTTGCTTTCCTCTCGCCCTCTCTACCCCTCTCCAACTGTTTTGTGTGGGGCCTTGCTGTTTCATCTCTCAATCATACACTGCTCTGCGTTCTACAAACAACACTGTTTGTTGCGGTCGGTGAATCCCTCGACCTCACCAGAGATGATTTAACCTCAATTGTACTCTCGATGATTCTCGGTGGTTTGCATCAGAATATTTGGTAATCAGTGTGTACACTAACACTGTCATAATTAAATTTAACTATTGAAGAAAAATTTCACAAAAGACCTTTCAAGTTCTTTAAGATTTTGGTCAATCCTTCACTGCAAAAACATTAGTTTTTAAGTAGTTTCCGAGAAATATTATTTCACTGTTACTAATGTTAAGAGTTTTATTGTGGTACATGAAAAACATATTGCTATCAATATCATGAGTAAGGTAACATACTTTTTAAATTTATATTTCAATGATAATTTTATTCAAACGTATAACGTAGTTATAGGCACATGAACGTTGCTGCATAGAAATAAAAACAGGTAGGTTTTAGATGAAGAAAGCTTTCATTTCCTTAAGTATTCATCATTTTATAGAAATTATTACGATTTTTGAAAGATTTGATTAATTTAAAACTTTAAAAAATTGATTAATGCACTGTCATGAAAAAGTATTTTAATACTTTTTATAAAGCGTGAAACTTGTATTTGAAAACAAAAATCAAATGAAAGGTTTCCAGAAAGACGAACACGACATGAATGTTTCATTCAAATTTCATTCAAACTCATTGTAGAACAAACACGAATGAAATGAGTCTAGAAATAAATTTGTTTATTAAATTTCTAATACATATATCTGGAAATGCAGTATTAATGTTGTTTTGGATGCTCATACTTTGAAAGCTTCTCCTTTAAAGCCGATTGTTGGACCGGTCGTTGTCAGCGACGAGACTAGCGGAGCCGAGACCGCTATGTGTGAAAATGCTAGTTCCGGCAGTGCCATTGTCGAGAATGAACGATACCGCTACTACACTCTAATTTAAACATAGTGGCACTTCAAGGTCACGAACTGGAAGGAGAGGGGAACATTGTCATGACACAAGCGTGACATTTGAGGATTTTTCGTCCTCCGAAAATACTCCCCTCCCAGCCAGGTTTGAACCCATGAACTTGGGTTTAGAAATTCAATGTGCCAATTCACATAATATTCGGTCAAGCACAATGTTAATTTATTTATATTTAAATTAATAGATATTGTTTGTAGGAATGAAAAAGATTCGAATGCAGTGAATAGAAAAAAGTTGCCAATATAATAACCTATCTTAACAATTTAAAAGCAGATTTTTTTAACTCTCTCCCTTTCCATTACTAATTTCTCTGCCAATCTCATCCATGCTCTGTGTGTGTTTCAGCCAACACGTGGAATCCCAACGACCCCGACTCCCCGTACCCGGTGTGAGGGCGGCGCCGGATGTCTGGTTCCCGTCGCCGCCGCCGTCTCCGTCTTCGTCGCCCGTCTCTCTGTGTGTGTTTTTCTCGGCCGCGGTCAGAACGCCGCATCTGAAAAGCTCGGAAGAGCGTTTCGATACCTTTGGTAAATGACGATTTGCAAACGCCGTTCCCTGCATTATGCAGAGGAAGTGGTAGTGGTGGTGGTATAGATGGTGTTCGTGGTGGTGGTGGTGGTGGTGGTGGTGGTGGGTCGCGGGACGGCGCACCCAAGAGCCCACCGCTGGTGTCACTCGGTGCTACTACCTCAGAAGGCTGGATCGGGCGGTGAAGAGACCTGACGGTTCCGCTGCTCTGTGACGTGGACACGCCGGACGCCAAATATATGTTACTACTTATGTATGCTTCGTTGCAAACTTTGCGATATACCGAGCAAAGATTCTTCCGCGGAATACTAACAAAAGCGCTTATATTTAATATAAAAAAACTGTGGGTATTTAGAAGACTAACAGTGATATTACTGAACTGCAAAAGCATTAAAACTAAAACATGCAGATTTGAGAACATTGTATAATTTGCTAAAAACGTTAAAAAAAAGAGACACTGACACGGTGAAGGGTGAACTTGAGGGGTACCGGAGGGGTGCAGTCTTTTTGTACGCCAGAGTAGAAACCTGAAAGACGGAAGACGGTCCTGTCGCGAGCGGGGCGCAGGACCCGGCGCTGCCAGTCAGCGAAGTCGTTCCGCGAACCGACGGCCTGCGCCGCCCCGCACGCACGCCGCCGCCCCCGCCGCCGCCGCCGCCTGCGTGCGTGCGTGCGTGCGTGCGCGTGCGTGCGGGTAGGACACGCGTGACACTGTTCCGAGACGGCCCCGCAGCGTAAGCCGCTCACCGGCTCACGAGATTCTGTCCCCGCGGTGGGGGGTTGGTGCGGCCTAGCGAAAAGTTGTGTTGTTGATCGATAAGTATTTTCATCTTGAGGTCGATTCAAGACAATCGAAGTTTTGTTAAATGAAACAAGATCTCGAATTTTTACGTTACTGTTTTTCAGTATGATGTCGGGTGAGAAAGACTCTATGATTACGAATTACAGGTGTATTTTTCCATGTATGTCGCAAATGTATTTTATAGAAGTTTGTAAATATTTTAGAAGAGTCTTGCGTTGTTTCAGTTGTCATTATCTTCAAGTATATTCTTTAAATAGAGTATTTCCACTATCTGAGATCAGTGATTCCTCATGATGTTTGTAACCCTTAATTCACAAACCGAAACTTAAATTGTTTTTATGATATACCCCCATTAAACTGTTCAAATTGAATTCAAATAACATTGAATGAATTACGTTCCTATGAATTTAACATTTCCCAGCGAAGCCCTGTTAACGGTAACTTTCAAAAAGTTAAATTATCTACGTGTTTTTATTGTACATTATATTCCAGATTACTGTGTAGAAGTGGACAAGAAAATACATTGTTCTTCCGTGTAAATGTTTGAATTTAATCAACGTCACATTTGTATCTTATATTTCAATCCTCCGTGATCTAAAAATGAAACAGAAAAAACAATATTTGCAAAATTCTTTGAAATGTCAAAGTTAATGTACGTAGACTACTTCCCGTTAATCTTTGAATAAATATTTTTTTAGACAAATTATTGCTCCAGAAGGTCCCTGTCATTTCATGATATTTATTTGTAAAATATCTACATAACGATATCAAATTCGTATGGTTTCAATTGCTCAGTGTTACAATCTATTTAACTCGGAGAGATTTCCCATCAATTTTTAAATACTTAATGAGGGGACAGAGTTTCGTGCAAGTGTTCCTTTGACTGAATATAGGAAAAATGTTCGTTTCTGTTCTTCGAAGTTCATTGTGAACAGCTATGAGAATATTTTTCCTTGAAAAAAATAGGTCAATCTTCAGAAATCCCCTTGCATTTGCCTATCATTTATATTCCTGTGAGTAAATTTCACCTCCAAATTTGCTTTAATTTGCATTACATGTATGCAGTTGTAAGAGATTTTACCGTCATTTTCAAACAGCGGCACCTATCATAATCCCATAAAAAAATTGAGTAAAGATTTACCAGTTGTGGTTCTCATGAGAAAGTGTTCAAATTATTGTCATTTTCAAAAAAAATAACGTTGAGGTTAAATATCAGGAATATCAAGACTAAATCATACCAACTTCTTATAAACGATTAGATAAACAACTTTGACAGAACGGAACCGAACTGCTTTGTAGAGCATCAAGAATTCCCTTGTACACCTGGCATTCATTGCGTGGGCGGGCATTTTAATGTGTCAATTAATGACCTCGGGAACGGGGCTGTGTATATGTCGCGTCTCTGTAACTCCCACGCCGTCCTTGTGTTATTTTAGAAATCAGTGTTTTGTATAAATAGCATAATAATTACATATGCTGACCACTTCACTTGAAGAATGTGATTGTTAAATGCCATTGAAAAATCAACTCAGTGATAACCTTAATTCTCTGCCAACGCATTTTCTTGAGAGATATGTCTTGGAACAGTGTCGCTAACGTGGTTAAGCACAATAAGGACAAACAAGGGTCTATCCACTCCTACTTTCGTATAGGTAAGAAAAAATCAGTATATATATACAAGCTTTTAGCACAATAATGTTAATACTAACGATCATTGTAAAGTTGCCCAGAACATGTGTGGTGCATAGCCAATTTATTACTCTATTCTAGAAATAAAAAAGCTACTAACGAAGAATGTTCATCAGTGACTTCTTTGATGTCATTTGCTTCTCCTTTCTCCCTGTTGCCTTGAAATATTGACCTAAGGCCCTGTATGTTTCAGCTTATCCCGGAGAATATGGCATAAAGGTGAGTTACATCAATAACGTATTGTTCAGGAAGAAGTGCAAGAGTTAGATAATGTGGCCTTAATATGAAAAAAATTGTTATACGTACTAAGGATATAAGCTTTTAAACAGTTTCGCATTAATATTCAATTATTTTTCATATCATTGAAATTATTATACAATATAGAGACAGACCGTTTGTTACCTACAAACAGTAAATGTTCAGACCTCTAACATGTCGAAAAATACACACCCTGTCGAGTGCGTTTTAATCTGAACGAAGCAGCAAACAAGCAGAATTCGCAGCCCGTTAAACGCTTTGAGTCCGAAAGCAGGAGCGAACTCCACTACAGGAAAACCTGCAAAACGTAACACACCTGCGGGAGCGAAGAGAGCGAGGTAATTCGTTTAAAAAGAACGTATAACTTATGGACTATCTATTCATCCTAATTGCCCGGGTTCTTTCCGAGGCCAGAAATTTCAATTAACGCGGCGAACGGGAGTCTAAATCACGTGGAAGCGCCTCTGCGCCGCTGCTGGCTCTGCGTCCGCCTCTCCCTTCCCCCCTCTCCGCCCTGCTCCCCCAATCCCTCCCCGCCCCACCCCTCCTCGTTCCTTCCCCCGCGCTACCCACACTCGCTCACTTCGCTCCACTGTCTATCGACAACGCTCCTTCCTTTCCCTTCCCATCCCGCTCCTCCCCTCCCTTCCCTTCGCCCCTTTCCCCCCGCTACGCACACTACTCCCTTCGCACCACGGTCTTCCGACAATGCTCCGCTGCACTCTGAGCTGTTCTCGTTTACTGCCCCGGCTCATCGCCATTCTCTTTTGCCCATTTCCTTCTATTGTCTATTTCAATACAGTCTTCTCCGCCGAAGATCTGTGTCACGCTCATGAAAGAATACGCATATCTGCTCTCAAAGAACTCATTTTTCAGGCCTTCTATTCTTCAAAATACTCTTCATCATGTCCCACTCCACGCCTTTACATCCCAGGTTGATTTCCTGCCTCCTTCTTCAGCTTTGCAATACCTAAGTCATCTTACCACAACCACCGTCAGAACCTCTGTCATCACAAGTACCTTCTCCTGATTTCTACATTCACAATTTCCACACCTCAAAACACTAAATCACCATCACTTCCATCTCTATCAACTCCATCACCACTATATTCATCTCCTTCATTATCTCGACCTCCTCCACCAAAACTGAACTTTATTACCGATATTCTTACCACCTTACCAGTTATTCTTACTTTGCATATCGTCCACGACGTTATTCTGACGACTGTGTTCCCGTACTCGCGTCTGGGATTCCAGCTTTCGATCGAATCGTTCTCTCACCCGACAGTCTCCGTCACTACAGTCTCCGACACCTCCGCTCATGGCGTAAAACAGAAGAGCAGCGCTGCGGCGCGAGTAATTGTCGGCGGTGCCGGAGGGGGGCGCTGCGAGCGACGGGAAACGCCCCTCCCCCCTGCCGCGCCCCCACCCCCTTACCCAACACGCCTTCTCCGCGCCGCTCCGCTCGCTTGCACGACTCCTCCCTCGCCTGCTATATTGGGGTTTCTGCGGCAGTTCCGCGCACGTGGCTGTGGAATATTGGTTTACCTGTGTCGCCGCCTCGCCCCCGAACTAGTCGTGCCCGAAGGCGCGTCTACGTCACCCGCCCAAATGCAGCTCTCGCATATGCACATCGCAGGCGGGCGCCCTGTGTCTTCTCCACTGGCACTTCTGTGTCTTCTTTGATCAACTAGGAATCGCGTTTCACCTCTTCTAATATTTTATCTTCGCCGTTTTTGTTTTTTTAATAATGACTCTTCAATGTATTTATGGTTTCTTTTTTTTCTCTTTATTAGCTTCTTTTGATGAAATGAAAGTGTTACGCAACATATCGTGCTTTGCTGGCTTTCAGTTGGTAAATTCAGGGATTCAGCACTGAGAGGAAAATATGCTATCAATAGAGGATCACCGAGACGATCACCAATAAAAGCATGAGATGATAAAGATATAAATGAAGCAGTTGTAAGAACAACAGCTGCGGGAATTTTGAGTATCTTACTAGTTATATTATTTTCCTTGAGTAACAATTACAATATGATAATAAATTCATCTTAAGAGGAAACACATCCTTATGGATTTCAAACACCGCGATTAGTATTCTAGTTTACGAAACCCGCCTAAGGGTCTACATTCGCTTGTTATTTTATTTTTGAGGACAAGGAATAGCAGCTATTTTGGAACATGCGACAGGTGAAATATGTACACGCTGACTGTTTTGCTAAAGCACTCATCCCATTACCACTGTCTTTTCCCAAAGAATAATGTTCCTATTCCTTCTGTCAATCACTATCTTCTTGAATTTCAACTTTCAATATTTTTGTTCACTTTTGGCTCGTAGGCAATTTTCTCTTCTTTAACTTCTTAATCATCATTAATTTATCAAGCCTTCTTCACAGAAATAACTGAAGCGTATTCACACTTCATTACAAACAGTCT